AAGTAGCTGCAAGCCCCAGAAGACATACATTGAGAGAGGGGGGTTACGGTTGTCAGTCTATTAAACGATACAATCTTTCTTCCAAGCTTTAATAATTCAATTCCTTTATGATCTCGTGTAATCACCCGTAATACTGCTCATAATCAGCATTCCTTCGAGATTCTTTGTCAAAATACGAAGGTTTTAGATACATTTGATGCGATATTATATATATATATATAATATTATGGGTGATTACACATATATATATATATATATGCACACATATATATTATATGTATTGTTTTTGCATGAAATTCATGGTTATTACATAAATTAAAAAAGTTAGTGATTAAGATATAGTTTTGTAAATGTGAAAATTAAAAGTACTTTTAACTGTTTGGCTTTGTGATTTTGGTAAAGAAAGAAATACTAGAAATAACTATAAAAGATGTACCAGTAATGGTTTGCCATTATGATTACAGCTTAGAGTGGTGGATCAGACCAAACGCTCTGAGACAAAGGAGAACATCTAGGGTTAGGTAAAAGTGTACTTAATCGGCCAATTAATTCCAATCCAATTTATGATATATCCATATATTCCAGGCAACGTTGGAGGGAGTAGTAAAGTATAATAAGAGAAATGACAAATTTGTTCGATTTGTTCCCATCATAAAGTACTCCGTTCGTATCATTAATGGTTGTCTACATTTAATTTTTATGGAATTAAAAAAATAATTTTAATATATTTTATTAAAATTTTCATGTATTAGAACTTTTAATCTAAAAATATGATGAGAAAAGTATAATTTAAAATTATTAAATGTTTAATATTGTTGATGATGTTTTAGGTACGAGTGATTCGGATGATGATTTAGAGGATAAGCAGGGAATGACTTGTACCTGTAGAAAGAAAGTAAAATCAAGAGGTGCTGGAGTTAGCTCTTTAAGACACCCTTCAATATTTAATTTAATCAAGCGTCTAGAGTTTTTTGGAGGTAAAAAGTACATGTTTAGAGAATATTAAAAAAGCTTAAAGAGGAAGGGTTTAGAATTATTATATTTGGATCTATTTTTTATTATATATATATAAGATAATGAATGATAATGTAACAAGAATTATTGATATTTAATGATAAATTTATGTGAAACTTAAAAAAAAGATTATTACATTTAATAATCTCAAGTCAAAGTGGCTGTGTTTAGTGATTTGAGGCAAATTGAAACTAGTTGGTATGCTACGAGACAATGCACTAATATAATATTAGTGATGGTGGTTGACAAGTCATTTTCCATGAATAAAATGATAAAGATAAGGATGTTAATTGATAGAATGTGGATAAGATAAAGTACTCTTCTTTTCTATTTTAAATTTTTATATTATATTCATTTAAGTATTTTATTATTTAATAAATATTTTAAATTTATCTCAATTTTTATCTTTACAAGTATTTAATTGATATGGATGATCCTTATACTCATAGTTTAAAAAATTTTTAAAAATTAAATTTTATTTTAGTTTTTTATCTTTATCTTATATACTTAAGTAATTTTTTATAAATATATATTAATATATTTTTAATAAAAATATATTAATTGTAATTAATTTAAAATAATAATTTATATTATTTAATAAAAAATTTATATACTAAATATATATAAATATATATGATACAAGTACAAGATGTGTGTTATATTATTTATTTTCAATTTTGTATGTAATAAAAATTTAAAATTATACTTATAATGTAATATTTATCATTATTTTTATTCGGATAAAAAATTAAGTTTTACATTAAATATAAATAAAATTAATATTCTTAGATAAAGATAAACTCGAAATGTGCCAATAAATCTAATTATCAATTTTTTTAAAAAATAACTTAATAATTAAAGGTATACTAATTTAACGAGCAGAAAATTAATGGAGTGAGTAGGTATTTAAAAATACTTTCAATTTCAATGCTACATTAATCCGAGACAAAAAAGGTCGTCTAATAAAATAGTAATTCGATCGGCCAAGTAATTAAAAATGGCGCCGAAGACAGGACAACCAAACTTGTTCCATCCTAGTATTGTTAGGACGTTTAGACTGCCACAAATACATCTTCTTAATACTACTTAACAAATCGGAATTTAGCCCAAAATTTATTTTATTCTCAATCTTCAAAAAATTTTAATTAGGTCATTAATTCTTCTAACTGGTATCATTTTATTCTTTCCCTTTGAGAAATAGTTTAATTTAATGTGTTTTTTTCAATATGTCAATAGTTAGATAGCACTTCCCTTGACAAATGTCATTCACGTGATGTAATTTGATATTTATTGTCAAATTATATCGTTTTCGCATATAAAAATCAATACCATTCATGTTCTGACAATTAAAAATTTTAATTAAATATGTATTTTGTGTTTGAAAATTAGGGATTAAAATAAAATTTAATTCAAAATTTAAAAAACACAAGCATTATTTCTAAAGAATGGCATAATAACTAGCATAAAATTGTTTCATTGCAAATTTGATGTTGATTTAGTTTTTTAAATAATTCAAAAAATATTACGGTATATATTTCTATATAGTAGTTATATGTTATATAAATTTATGTTTTTAATAATTAACCATCACATTATGTTAATCATTTATTGATTTTTTTTGTGTCAAATGAAGTCAACTGTGATAATTATTTTTAATAAAATTAAAAATTTTAAAATTTCGAGTTTCAATTTTTTTAAAAAAATATATTTTTAAAATTTTAATTTAATATAATATTTTTATAATAATGGTTAAAATTGAATTTATTTAATAAAAAAAATCAAATAGGAACAAATAAAGCTGGACAAAAGGAGTATTTTCTTTTTTATAAATCAAAGTTTTATTTTTATATTAAAATATTGAATACCAATGTTATAAAAATGTTTACTAAAAAATATAATTAAAATCGAAGTTTAAATATTAAATATAAGATTCTCTTAAAAAATAAACATAAGAAATGTTTTAAAAACATATATGTATGTTCGAAAAATGAAAAAGAATGTAAATTTGAGTCATCACAAAAATGATAAGATATTCAAATTTCAATTTCAAAGGGAAGGAATAATTGTTGGCCAGAAAGACGGAAGGAATAATTAAGCTACCACTCGTAATTACTAATTAAACAGAGTAGAAAAAGGCAACAAAAGGGTATAGACGTATGGTATAGGTCAAGCTTTTACGTTTTAAGCCAGTCTTGGGTGGGAAAAGATTAAATGAAGTTTCTTAGTTAAAGTTTTATATTTTTTTATTAAAATTGATTAAATAAAAATTAAAATTAATAGATTGTAAAATTTTGTTATATGAATTAAGTGTGTAAAATTTTTTAAAATTTAAAAAATTTTAATATATTTTTTAAATAATTATTTTTAGTAAAATTTTTGATAAAATTTTTATCGTTAATAGATATTAATAAAATTTAAATTATAAATGATATTTTTAATAATTATTTTACATATTATTAATTTTTTATTAAATTATATCAATTTATGAATTTGAATTTTTTTATTAAAATTTTAATTAAATCCTTTATCTTAAAAAATTTCAGAAACCTCCACACATAAAACTCGCTCAGGAAATTTCATCTTAATCTTGCTTCTAAGGTGTCCTTTACCTTCTTCGTCCACGAGAGAACGGGTTCTTTAAGCTTGCAAACATTCCCTCAGGATTCAAGGTCAAGGAGCAAAGTGCAGTAATAAAACCACGATACTCTGGCTTTCTTCATAATTTTCTAAGTAACATGGAAACCCCAATATTCTTGCTTAATAATGGGCCGAAGAGAGAGGCAGGTTTTTGCTTCCCAGTTCTCCTAATAGTTATGTTTCGGACCATGGTAATCACCTCGCTAAAATAGAATTGGGCTCAGCTGCTTGGATCTCATTCGGGCTCAGAAACAGCAGAATCTGAATTCCCAATGCTTTTCTCAGGCACCATCCTTCCTTGACTTCACAGTTTCAAGAAAAAACACTGGCTGATTAGACTATGAAACTTCTATGCATGCCATGATGTTCAAAATTATCACCCGCTTAATGATTCCTGGGCCCTTTTTTAAGAAGTGGGCGTGTAATTGATGCCCACTAAACTATTATACCTGATGTATGGCATCATCATTCATCAGCCTGCCCCTCATCGTCCCAAAATAGTAAACTAGATGTCGGGTCAAAAAGACAGTAAAAGAAAAAAAAAAAAAAATCTCAGGATGATGATGATGATGGATATCCTTGTCTATTTAAATCTATGTAGCATTATTATATATTTCAAATATATTTACTTTACTTCCCCGACAACGATAGATTAGTGCTGATGGATATGATGAACTTTCCATCATATTTAATTAACTCTATGAAGAAGCTTAAATACTTTTCATTTGTAAGTTGTTATCATCAAGTACCATTGTTAATTATAGAATAAAATGTGGCGAAAAAAGGATTATTAAAAATTTGTGGAAATATTGTTTTGAATAGTCAATGTTAGGAGGGTGGGACTGGGATGTCATGCCCCTGCAAGCCCACAATTATATATAGTTTCATTTCTTTTGAAAAAAGTTTTATGCCAAAACAGATCCTAAGCAAAAAAGAAAAAGCAATCTGTTAAGGGATTTAATACAACTCACAAATTAATGCAAATTGTGGAAGGAAGTGATGAGCTAGAATTGACACCCACGAGTGTCTGTCATGATAACTGAGGGACCCCCTCCCCGTCAGAAGATTTTTGGGAGGGGGCATCATCATCTGATCTCACGATTCAGATGCATGCCGCTAAAAGGAGGAATAGATAAATGGAAACACTAACGGGTTTCTATTTGCTGATGGGCTTTTTTTTTGGAGTGGTTGAAGCATTAAGAAAAGTGATAGATATAGGTGGGAGGTTAATGGATTTGATTATGAATCCCGTGACAGGAAATGAAAGACAGATTTTGGAAGGATGTAGTACAATCTCCATCATCTTTTCTTATTTTTAACCATAGCCAATTGCATCTCTTCTTCTTCTTCATTTCAATTTCAGATCATTCAAGACCTTTCCAAGTTTATATAATTTTCCATCTTCACTTAAACTGGTTTTCCTTTAAAATCATGTAATAAAAATCTTTGTAGTAATTAATGGCTTACCTTTCATGTTGAAGTACAAATATAATATGCTAAGCGTTGAAACTTTCCAGGAGGAGGCTAGCTAGAATGGACAGTAGGCAGATGTCAAAGAAGGATAAGAAGGAGGAGATTCCATCAGAGACTGAAATGATATCCGGTGGCGTTGAGTCTCATGCGGCACCAGCATCAGGGCATGGTGCGTCTGGACTTCGCAGACAGCTGAGTGTTACAAAGACCAATGGCCTCTGCTTTCCAGGCATGCTGGCTCATTCGACTGCAGGATTCATCGGGCCCCAAGTCTCTAACGGACCACAAGCATCGACTCTCAATCTGCATCCCTTCGGGATTCTACAACTAAGCCAAATTCTGCCACAGCCACTGCTGAATGATCTAGCAGTAGTGCAGATGTATGGGGCCTCAATAATTCTCATTGTGTATACATATTAGCATATCGTGTGTCCTATTGACTTGTTGCTGCTACAAACTTTGTTAAAAAAAAAATCAGTTGTTCAGTTGTTCTGCATTAACTACTCTCTTTGGTTTCTTGATGGAGTTTTCAGTCATCGATATCCTTCTCAGGATTAGGTTATGCCTGCCTGAGACATGTATAATCTTGGTTCCAGGTTTCCATCAATGAACGGAATAGAGTCTTCATTAATTCTTGATTGGGCATGGTGGCCGGATATACTATTATATATGTTGATTCATGGATTTTTAGGTTGAAATACTAGGCTAATTAGACACAATGACAACATTATACTTATAGACAATTTCAACGTTAAAGCATTGATATATCAAGTCAAATTATCTATTGGGCCTAGAAAATTGGACTAAAAAACATTTTTCTTATTCAAGATCCTATAGTTATATATGAATTTAATAAAAATATAAAAAAAATTTTATTTTAATACATCGACACTAATTATAACATAATAATTTTTGTATTTATTTATATTTCACAGACATTACAAAACCTTATTTAATTTCCGTCCGTCTAGATCCCACCTGAGATGGAGTTAAGTAGCAACATCTTTAAAGCCCCACGTTTTTACGAAAGAGTATGATTACAGGTCCAGAACAGAAATTTCGCAGATTTGGCAGTTGATGAGCGGGGTTAATTAAATATACTGAAGAATTACTGAAAAGGGACTTTGAGCTATAAGGGGAAATTACCAAAAAAAAAAAAAAAACTAGAATTGAGCACCATGGAATATGTCATAAAGGATTTTCATGACAAGATTGGTGGAAGCTAAAATTATCACCAACAGTGCGTGCAGCTCTAACGTGAGAGGGAAACACATCGAAAATTGGACATTATTGTTGAGGAAAACTATGATGAAGATGATGAATGTAATGATGGTTAGAACAACTAGAACCAACATGACTATGATGTAGTAATGCTCTATAATTGACCTATGTTGAAAATTTTAGCCTATTCTATGGCAAGAGAGGGGCATCTGAATCAGCACGCAACTAATCCCAATAATACAGTCAAGGGAATCATGTTTAACTGAGTTGCTGTTTTCCTTTCAATGCATACAGGACAAGAGTTAAATCACTTTTTGTTTTGGTCTTATATAAAAGGAAAAGAAGCATAATCAAATCCTTAAGTAATAATCAAGGCAGTTTATTTAACAAGAGTAAATTCTTTCCTGAATATGAACTCAAAATCAGAGAAATACTATTAGGTTGCTTTTTGCTTCAAAGATACTAAAATTTTAAATAAGACTTAACTCAGTTGATCATACAACTATTTTTAAGAATAGACAACAGATAAATTTGAAGTTCAAAACTCTATTCATGCCAAAAAAAAAAAAGGTCTATTAACTTTTCATTTTTCTTAAGGTTTTTAAAGCCCGTTACAGTGGATTCTGAACTTGTAGACAACTGGACAATTTTTGCAGTAGTTCTTGTATCTTTGACGGGATTAAAGTGAATCTCTCTGGCTGGAAAAATTTAAGCAAAAGCTAACACTGGTCAAGTTTTCTAGGTTTTCAATTAAGATTTATCAAACCAACATAATTGAATTGAAAGTACACAATGTTAAAAGCAAAGCATGTCATCCATGTGAACTACCAAGCGATGCAAAATTTGGAGTAATGATAACTCAATTCAGCTCAAAACAAAGATGGAAGACAAAGAAATTCCAATAAAACAGCATTGCATCCTGTCGGACAGAAGAAGTGCCAATACTTGATCTGGATTAACAGGAGAGGATCGAGGGAGTTGCAACTAAATGGCAAAGACAGGTGTTGCAGATTCATAGACAAACACAGCGATATTGGCCCCATGATTAGTCATTTACAATTAGGATTCCTACTTCATTTCTAAAAATGAGATTCATCAAAGAGAATTTTCAGATCCGTATACCTATAGCTAAATTTAATTTTAAGGAGTCGTCACCAATATTTTTTGTTAAAGTGTGATTAATCACCTAAGTAAATTTATCTCTTTTTAAGGAGAAATCTCAAGTTTAACTTAGATATATTTAAAGGGTAGATAAATATCTACGAAACTAAAATTATGTTCAGGAGTACGGTTACATGTGAAAAAAGTTATAGCACTCTTATAACACTCATTAAAAGATAGTACCAGTTTTATTTTATGTTATCTAAGCCTTAAAATATTTTTGAATTTTGACCAAGTAAATTTAATTATTAAAAATTAATTTTAAAATTACTCCAATCGTTTGCTAGTGATTTAAGACAATTTTTTACCTCATAAATATTCATGGAGACTCGTGTTCTATTCTAAAGAGACTCGATTATCGGATTCATTAACATATTTTTGAAGAAAGTATTTTTTGAAAGCAAATAATAAAATCCTTCAATCGTTCGATAAGATTTTATATCAATACATATCCCTCAATCATTTAGTAAGATTTTTATTTGAAAATCTCAAAAATTTCATTTGAAAAAAAAAGTCATTAAATCCTTTAATAGTTTGGTAAAATTTAACAAAATTTTAAATTTTGCAACCGTTTGGTAGGATTGAAAAATTATTTTTCGAAAATTCATTATGAAATTGTCTAATCGTTTTGTAGAATTCATAATTCAAGATTTAAATTCTCCAATCATTTAGTAGGAATCATGAATTTATTATAAAAATTTATTTTAAAAGAAGAAAGAGAAATAACTAAGTAACATAAAATAGATTACAAATAAAGAAAAAAAGTAAAAATTACCTTGTCTTTTTTCTTGTTTCTCTACAAAACAATCTATGGCTTTTTTAGCGCCCTTCACCTGTGGTGATTGTCTTTTTTTTTTTTGTTTAAAAAAAATCAAACAAAAACTTAAAACATATATGCCCAAAACCTCGAAAATTTTGTTACCAAAACTTTTTGTTGAATACCTCTCTTTTGTGTTTTTTTCAACCCCTTTATGCAACACAAAACTTCAAAAAAAAAAATCCTAATTATTTAAACCCAAAACACTAGAAAAAAAAAAACTCTTAATTTTTTGCTTTTTTTTTTTTTTTACTCTTTCCTTCTTATTTTTTTTGATTGATTCTTCCTTATTTCTAATTGATCCTAATGGGGTTTTTATATAGGCTTCTAATCCAAATCACAATAAGAGAAGGTTTTCTTGATTTAAATCTCCTAATCAAAGTTAAATTTAGATTTTTAATCCAAGTCCACCTCTCAAATCAATACATTTCTCTTTTCAATTAGAACACTAGATTTCAAACCGAATCAAACTTTTTCCTTTTTTTTATTTTTTTAAAAAATCATAAATAAATTAATTAGCAAAATAAATAATCCTAAAATACCTTGGACTAAATGAGGTGTCTACAGCTACCCTTTTTTTTGCCCATTTTTTGTGAAATAGAAATTGGGCAAATACATGGATATCTATTATGTCCGGATAACCAACTTGACATTTTTTTTTTAACAGACTCTTTTAAATGGGAACTCAGACTTTTTGAACAGCATAAAAGGCTTCTCTAAACAAAGGCTCAACATCTTTTAAAAATATAAAAAGTTCTTATCAATAGAGGTTCAATAACTTTTAAAAAATATAAAAGACTTCTCTCAACAAAGACTCAACAACTTTTGAAAAAATATAAAAATATTCTCACTTTTGCTCAACAAATTTAACTCGAAAGACTTAGAGACTATGTCTAGAGGTTTTACGAATCTCAACATTTAAATGCTTCTTTAAACATAGGCTCTACGACTTTGAAAATATAAAAGAGATTTTTATCTGAAGGAGATCAAGGGTTCATTCATTGAAAGGTTCTTGAGATTTGCTTAATTCTTTGAGGTTCGCATTAAGGATTCAAAGATTCACATTTGAAATTCATATCCAAGATTCCAATATTCTCATCTGAAAAGTTCAAATCTAAAATTCAGTATCTTAAGGATTCACATATGAGATTCTCATTTTATGGTAAAAAATTTCTCTAAACAGAGGCTATAAAACTTTAAAACTGGAAGAGTTTCTCAACAAGATTTAGCAATTCTTCTTGAAATCATTCTCTTCATCCAAAGGTTTTAAACTTCATCTTCACAATATTTTCTTTATACGAGGATCAAAATCTTATCAAAAGGTTTTATTTTTTCAAATTTTAGTTTTTCTAAGATTATGTTTTGAAGTCTTAAAAATTATGTCTGTAGGTCTTACAAATCATATTCGAAAGTCTTAAGAATTATACTCAGAGGCCTTACAAATCATGCTCAGAGGTCTTGAGAATTATGTCCAGAGATCGTACAAATTACGTTTGGAGGTCTTAAAAATTATGTTCAGAGGCCTTATAAATCATGCTTGGAGGTCTTAAAAATTATGTCCGAAAGTTTTACAAATCGTGCTTGGAGGTCTTGAGAATTATATCCAAAGGCCTTACAAATCATACCTGGAGGTATTGAAAATTATGCTCGGAGGCCTTACAAATCATGCTTGTAAGCCTGAAAATTATGCCTAGAGACCTTATAAATTATGTTTGTAGGTATTACAAATTATGCCTAGCGGTCATACAAATCATTTCTTATCTTTGAAAAAGTTTCTCCTTAACAGATATAAATGTCTTCACAACAAATTCTCCAATGTTCATGACAACTAAAGAAATTGCCCATATAACTATTCCATGATCCAAAAAATGCATATTCTTTCGAAAAACATGTGATTGAATCTTTTAAAAATTGGTGATTATTGTATAGAATGATGAAAGTGAAGGGGAATGAAATGGTTCAACATACTGAGGTTTTAAAAGAGATTTTGCCACTGGACAGGAAAAAGCAAATCATTATGTCTTCATTTGGGCTCACTAATGAAAAATCATCTTTTAAAGTACAATCCACTTTTGCACTCTCTTAATTTCTTAATATAGTAATTTAACAAATGTTAAGACTAGTTGTGATAAGTTCAAAATTTTTAAGAAAGAAAGAAATGTTCAAATTTAAAAACAAATCCTTTGGATTAGGGTTCATCTTTTTGAATTTCTCAAAGATTTTTATTTGGTTCCTTCCTTTAATGACATTACTTGACTTGCTTTTAATCTTACTTTAGACTGTCCTTTCTTTCTATTCAATCTTTTTTTTTTTTTACTATCCCATCATGCATTTGAAAATTTAAAATTCATCTAAAATAAAAAAGTAATGGTGATTTCCTAAAGAAAAACTTTTCAATTTAAAT